AAGGCGCCAGCCACGTACACCTAAGGTGGCGGGTTCGAATCCCCAGCCCGGACCCGCCAAACAACAATGACGGCTGCAACCAAAAAATAGCCGGGGCGTTGTGGCCAGCGCCTGTGGTCCCAGCTACTTGGGAGGCAGAGGCGGGAAACTCGCTTGAGCCCAGGAGTTGGAGGTTGCTGTGAGCTGTGATGCCACGGTACTCTGCCCAGGGGGACAGCTTCAGGCTCTGTCTCAAAAAAAAAAAAAAAGAATTTTCCTATCTTTATATGCAGGTTCCCAACCCCCTTGGCCCCCCATTTTTCTTTAAAGAATCTAAAAATTTAGGGGTAAGAGGGAGAGAAAATTAACTTTTGATTAGAATCAGAGGGGATAGCCCATTCAAAACAAGGGTGTACTTTTGGGTTGCAGGGGTACACAATTGTATAGGGGATCTGCAAACTGCTTCTTAAACCAAACAACAGTTTGAACAGAGACATCATCCATTTTGGAACTAATATGAGATAGCAAAGAAAATTTGAAGCAGGAGCAAAAGAGTTTGCAGAGGAAAATCAGGCTTTAGTAGGAGAGCTGAAAGTGATGAGTATAAGTGATTTTCATTTGACTTCTAAGCTGATTTTTTCTTTTTTTAGAGAAAGGGTCTTGCTGTGTTGCCCAGGCCTGTCTCAAACTGCTGAGCTCAAGTGATTCTCCTGCCTCAGCCTCCCAAGTAGCTGAGGGGCACATGCTATTATACCTGACTTTACTAAGCTGATTTTGGCTTTGTCATTCTAGGGATAAATTAGGTTGTAAGGCAGGTTGTTTGTACTCTATTTGAAGATTATGCAGTCAGAAAGGCGTATGTTTGAAATTCACTTCCTTATTTTGTTTCCCCGTTGTTCTTATGCTTTGCACTTATGGAAGATGGATAAGGAAATCTTGAATAGTTGGCAAATTATGGAAAAGTTTCCAAATCAAGAAATATAAATGTTTTCTTTTAGAGGCTAAGGCTATGAAAAATGTAATTGACTCATCCCCTGACATTTTGTGAGCATTGACTCTATTATGTTTGTTAGCACAACTTTTATTGAAGAATACTGAAAAGCTGTTTTTCCTTATAGATGGATGGTGACAGTTCTACAACAGATGCTTCTCAACTAGGAATCTCTGCAGACTATATTGGAGGAAGTCATTACGTTATACAGCCTCATGATGGTAAGAAGGGCACAGTTAGAACCAAATTCACAAGTAGAAAACTAGTTAGAAAGTGAAAACTTGGGCGGCACCTGTGGCTCAAGGAATGGAGCACTGGCCCCATATACCAGGGGTGGCAGGTTCAAACCTGGCCCTGGCCAAAAACTACAAAAAAAA